TCCCTGTGTATATAGGGACCAGGTACAGCTCCATGTGTATAGGGTCCAGGTACAGCTCCATGTGTATATAGGCTCCAGGTACAGCTCCATGTGTATATAGGGTCCAGGTACCTTTCCCTGTGTATATAGGGTCCAGGTACAGCTTCCTGTGTATATAGTGCCCAGGTACCTTTCCCTGTGTATATAGGGTCCAGGTACAGCTTCCTACAGCTCCATGTGTATATAGGGACTAGGTACAGCTCCATGTGTATATAGGGTTTAAGTACAGCTCCCTGTGTATATAGGGACTAGGTACAGCTCCATGTGTATATAGGGTTTAAGTACAGCTCCCTGTGTATATAGGGGCCAGGTACAGCTCCATGTGTATATAGGGTCCAGGTACAGCTCCATGTGTTTATAGGGTCCAGGTACAGCTCCATGTGTATATAGGGACTAGGTACAGCTCCATGTGTATATAGGGACCAGGTACAGCTCCATGTGTATAGGGTCCAGGTACAGCTCCATGTGTATATAGCGACCAGGTACAGCTCCATGTGTATATAGGGACCAGGCACAGCTCCATGTGTATATAGGGACCAGGTACAGATCCATGTGTATATAGGGACCAGGTACAGCTCCATGTGTATATAGGGACTAGGCACAGCTCCATGTGTATATAGGGACCAGGTACAGCTCCATGTGTATATAGGGCCCAGGTACAGATCCATGTGTATATAGGGTTTAAGTACAGCTCCCTGTGTATATAGGGGCCAGGTACAGCTCCATGTGTATATAGGGTCCAGGTTCAGCTCCATGTGTATATAGGGACCAGGTACAGCTCCATGCGTATAGGGCCCAGGTACAGCTCCATGTGTATAGGGTCCAGGTACAGCCCCATGTGTATAGGGTCCAGGTACAGCTCCATGTGTATATAGGGTCCAGGTACCTTTCCCTGTGTATATAGGGTCCAGGTACAGCTCCATGTGTTTATAGGGTCCAGGTACAGCTCCATGTGTATATAGGGTCCAGGTACCTTTCCCTGTGTATATAGGGTCCAGGTACAGCTCCATGTGTATATAGGGTCCAGGTACCGCTTCCTGTGTATATAGGGTCAAGGTACAGCTCCATGTGTTTATAGGGTCCAGGTACAGCCCCATGTGTATAGGGTCCATGTACAGCTCCATGTGGATATAGGGACTAGGTACAGGTCCATGTGTATATAGGGTTTAAGTACAGCTCCCTGTGTATATAGGGACTAGGTACAGCTCCATGTGTATATAGGGACTAGGTACAGCTCCATGTGTATATAGGGTTTAAGTACAGCTCCCTGTGTATATAGGGTCCAGGTACCGCTTCCTGTGTATATAGGGTCCAGGTACCTTTCCCTGTGTATATAGGGTCCAGGTACAGATCCATGTGTATATAGGGACCAGGTACAGCTCCATGTGTATAGGGTACAGGTACAGCTCCATGTGTATATAGGGCCCAGGTACAGTTCCCTGTGTATATAGGGGCCAGGTACAGCTCCATGTGTATAGGGTCGAGGAACAGCTCCATGTGTATAGGGTCCAGGTACAGCTCCATGTGTATAGGGTCGAGGAACAGCTCCATGTGTATAGGGTCCAGGTACAGCTCCATGTGTATATAGGCCCAGGTACAGCTCCAAGGGGATATAGGGGTTAAGTACAGCTCCCTGTGTATATATGGTCCAGGTACAGCTCCCTGTGTATATAGGGGCCAGGTACAGCTCCATGTGTATAGGGTCGAGGAACAGCTCCATGTGTATAGGGTCCAGGTACAGCTCCATGTGTTTATAGAGTTTAGGTACAGCTCCCTGTGTATATAGGGACTAGGTACAGCGCCATGTGTATATAGGGACTAGGTACAGCTCCATGTGTATATAGGGACCAGGTACAGCTCCCTGTTTATTGGGGTCCAGATGTAGCTTCCTGTGTATATAGGGTCCAGGTACAGCTCCATGTGTATATAGGGCCCAGGTACAGCTCCATGTGTATATAGGGCCCAGGTACAGCTCCATGTGTATATAGGGTCCAGGTACAGCTCCATGTGTTTATAGAGTTTAGGTACAGCTCCCTGTGTATATAGGGTCCAGGTACAGCTCCATGTGTATATAGGGTCCAGGTACAGCTCCCTGTTTATTGGGGTCCAGATGTAGCTTCCTGTGTATATAGGGTCCAGGTATAGCTCCATGTGTATATAGTGCCCAAGTACCTTTCCCTGTGTATATAGGGTCCAGGTACAGCTCCATGTATATATAGAGTCCAGGAACAGATCCATGTGTATATAGGGTCCAGGTTCAGCTCCATGTGTATATAGGGCCCAGGTACCTTTCCCTGTTTATATAGGGTCCAGGTACCGCTTCCTGTGTATATAGGGTCCAGGTATAGCTCCATGTGTATAAAGTGCCCAGGTACCTTTCCCTGTGTATATAGGGTCCAGGTACAGCTTCCTGTGTATATAGGGTCCAGGTATAGCTCCATGTGTATATAGGGTCAAGGTACAGCTCCATGTGTATATAGGGCCCAGGTACCTTTCCCTGTGTATATAGGGTCCAGGTACCGCTTCCTGTGTATATAGGGTCCAGGTATAGCTCCATGTGTATAAAGTGCCCAGGTACCTTTCACTGTGTATATAGGGTCCAGGTACAGCTTCCTGTGTATATAGGGTCCAGGTACCTTTCCCTGTGTATACAGATTCCAGGTATAGCTCCATCTGTATATAGTGCTCAGGTACCTTTCCCTGTGTATATAGGGTCCAGGTACAGCTTCCTGTGTATATAGGGTCCAGGTTCAGCTCCATGTGTATAAATGGACCAGTTACAGCTCCATGTGTATATAGTGCCCAGGTACCTTTCCCTGTGTATATAGGGTCCAGGTACAGCTTCATGTGTATAAATGGACCAGGTACAGCTCCATGTGTATATAGGGTCCAGATACAGCCCCATACGTATATATATATAGGGTCTGGGTACATTTTCTGGTGCGTCCCATGCCGATGTCCCTATGTGTGAATGTAGGGTGAAGGTACAACTGCTGCAAAGATAGGGGTTTTGAGCAGCTCCCTGGCTATGAGAGAAGACCAGGTAGCAGTGTGCCAGTAGCATGTGTCAATCAAACAGGGAGCCACTTGAGTGAGGTTTATGGCCTGTGGAGCATGCCCTGATTACATAATGACCTTGATGGGCTTATCCTATCACTGGGTCATGCACTGCTGTTATCACATTAAATTTGTTCAACTTACACAATAATTCAGTTAAATTACCTACATTTGTCAAGAATAGACAGGATAGCATCAGCCTGCTCACTCTCGGCTGTACACAGTAGTGTGCTGTAAAGATGGCAGAGATATGTGCACAGGGAGCAAAGGCAACACCCCCCTGTCAACAGGGACACAACGGGTTATGCACTTAATTTGTTTTTCTTTCTCCACTAACACCCTGCAGCAGGAGACATCGGTGGGAGAGCAGTAATTACATGGCTTCTCTCACTCCTGTATAGTAGTCAATCAACTCTCTTGTCACACATCTACCCCAATGATCAATGTTATTTTTCTAAGCACAGTAAGTATGGGGTTTAAATTTCATGTTTAGATAAAAGCGGAGCAACCTTCATAAGCTAGGATCACAGGTACCACTGCTATAGGAGAGGCTGCATCAGGGCCTAACATAAAGTCGTTTTAAAACAGATGTTAAATGACACAAACTGATGGCTGAGCAACTAAATCTGCAGCCAAGAGCGGGATCTGTTGGCTGATCTCACACTTGAAGGGTGAAGAGTGGTAGCAGGGAAGGTGTGAATATGCACGGTTTTTCACACACTCCGGGGGCCTTACATCAACCTAGCATCCCGAGACTAGCTCCCCTGCCTATGTAATTGCTGCACAATTTAATCACAAGTCACCATTTCACTAAAATCTATTGCTGTTTACACTTGAAACTTTCCACACTTCCCAAATGAAATGATACTGATTTACAGTCACCAAGGCAATTAATATAAGATTTCAGCAGTAGCTTCAAAGGACCATTGATTCCTAGGAACATTTGTACCACTCTTATACACTCAAAGACAAAACTCAAAACACAATTACAAGTATAGGCTTTTGATTCAAAGTTCTCCCAACTGAAAGCAGCTGTGTGTTGGCTTTGATACCCCTCCCAACATTCCTTGTGTCTCTGTACTCAAAACTGAAGACAATTACATTCCTTCTGTGGGACAATTATTGTAACTTCTAAGGGACAGGCTGCCAGGAACACAGTGGTAGCCCTACCACCACCATACAGGGTGCCTCCAGGTCCCGAGGAGGGCTGTTTGGTGACTGTCACAGAGGTACATCTCAACAGAGGTCACCTTCTCAAAATTACAGTAAACTGGTCATTGCTAAGTTGGTCAGTCACAGTCACAAGGTCATACCCTTAGGGGTCATTGTTTGAGATGTCACTGCCTCAACGGTAACAACTACTATAGGGGTTATATATATAAAATAAAAAAGTCACTTGCAAAGTGGTCATTGTCTCCTGAGACACAGTCTAATGGGTCATATTGACAGGGGTCACCTTCACAGAGGTCACAGAGGTCACAGTCAAAGTCAGAGGGGTCATTATAATAGAGGTCGCATTCACTGGTGTCAAAGTCGTAGGGGTCATTATAATAAAGGTCACAGTCACAGAGGTCACAGTCATAGGGGTCAAAGTCAGTAGGGTCACTATAATTGAGGTCACAGTCGCGAGGGTTAGTCATAGAGGTCGCAGTCACTGGGGTCAAAATCAGAGGGGTCATTATCAGAGATCACAGTCGCAAGGGTTAGTCATAGAGGTCGCAGTCACTAGGGTCAAAGTCAGAGGGATCATTATCAGAGATCACAGTCGTAGGGGTCACTGTCACAGAGGTAGCAGGGAAGGGTCACTGACAAAGAGGTCACAGTAAAGGGTCACTGAAACAGAGGTCACAGTCAAGAGGATCACAGTACCTCACAAATGGAAAATGGCGAAAATCTTTACAAACCTGTATTGGCCTTGAGTTTCACTCCCTTCAATGTTTGACGGTCAGTTGAGACAGACACCTCAACAAAAACTACAATATCTCTAATAAACCACACAGGACTTCATCTGAAACTGTCAAGGTCGCTCTATCATCTATAAAAGTTATAATACATGTTCATTAGCACTATATGATACAGAAGCTAGTTTGTGGTCCTCTATAAAAGAGTATGCTGACTTAAGAGATACTGATCCTCAAGGGAGGTAACTGGGGACAGAAAGGCAAGCAGACAGGCCTCAGGACAATGACTAGCAGTAAATCAGGAACAACAAACATAACATTTTATCTGGAGCATTATAAAGCTGCGATCTGATCCTAAATCATGCATTAACTGTCTACCCATTATTTTGAGATCATAAAAAGAAATTGTTATTTCTATCAGTTTTTTTTTAGGCTATTATAACAATTGTTATGCATTTATAACAATAAAAATCAGCATAATAGTCATTTAGGAAAGGCAATGAAATTCACACCATTTTTTATATCATGACATCAAATAAATGTTACATCAAAGTATGTCTGACAACAGACATCTAACAATAAATGTAAATTGACAATTGAAATTTCAATAATAACAATGTGAATTTGGCAAAAATAATTAACTTAGTCACCTAGCAACATGATTCTCACAATTGTTAATTAATTATAGCAAATGTTACAACTGTAATTTAATTACAATAAATGTGTAAATTTGACAACTTTAAATTCAGCTACAGCAATTGAAATATGTGGCAAATTTTACGTCAGTTACAGCAGTATGTAACACTTTACAGCTGTAATCCATCAGCCTCAGAGTCGACCTAATGGCTATTCCATAACCTGTCCTGACAACCGTTACCCTCGAGGCAATCAAAAACACTTTATTTCACAAAGGATTTTTCTGTTTCTAGTTATTTGATTTGATTTCAGAAGAAAACCCCATTATTAAACTTTAAAGGACTGAAATGCAAAGATGATTTGTCAACAGGAATCAATGAAATTCTCCTTTAACGGTAAAGAGATTCCAAACCCATTCTGAACTCAATTGCCATCAATACCATCAAATTCTAATTGTATTTAAATCTCCTGGCTCACTGTATACCGGTTGCTATGGAGGCTGGGCCATTACTAGGTAAGTGTAGGGTTCAATGCCTGGCTATTGATGCTCCAGCCACAGTCACAGAACACATGTGCTATAGTTCAATGGGATTCTCCCCCTCGGTAGCCCCTCCACAAAATTTGGCATTTCTACAATTTCTAGAGAACAATAACACTGAAATAGTGAAATCCATGCATTACTCTCCCTCAGCCGTGCTTCGCTCACACACGCGTTGTGCGCGTACATACATATATGTTATGCATGTACATACCTATGTATCAAATACGTGTGTGTGTGTGTGTGTGTGTGTGTGGATGGTTTGTATGAAACACTAATTAAACTCTGTATCCCCAATGTCAAATAATACATATAGACAGTTCTGGTGCTAAGCAGCCTCTCCTCTGATGGGCCTGCACACTTACTCAAATTTCATTAGTTTACTATTCATCCAGATAAAAAGACTATGGTCAGCCTGGCCTAAATTTGGTCACTCTTTTATTTCCATCCCAGCCCTCAAGGTACCAGACCCCACTTATCACTAAAAGATGAAACATAATTCAGAGTATTTATAATCCATCAGTAAATTTGAGTGGCCCTGGAGGAGTCTTGCAGTGAGATCCACCAATTGTTTGTTTGTAATGTTGAGGCCCTGAAGCCCACCGTTACCACTCAGCACAGAGGGATGATATGCCGAAGCATGAATAATGAAACACAAATAATGAATGAATTACAGAACATGGAGCCTTTGAAAACTTCAAAACCTATAGCTTATGTGAATATTACCAAAGAACTTGGTTTTTCTTTAATGATTTCCCTTGGGCCGTCAGTGGAAAGTACAACTATCCCGACATCAAAGACTATCCACAGATGGCACACACATTAAAAGTCAAAACATTTAAGTTCAATTTCCTACGTACCAAATCACCTAGACAACCATGAATGGCTATTTATGTTTTTTTAGGCTTCAAAAAAATCTACACCAATTCCATGCTTGCCCTTGCCCGAAGGGGTCCTAGCTGTCCTGCGGGGTTTCCTTCTATCTGTGTAAGCCTGTCAGCCTGCGGACCATAAACTGGAAGCATCCTCTGTCTCCCAACCTACATCCCTTTCTCCTCGGCTCCTCGACACACATGACCTCAGTGAAAACCGAAACCCAGCAGTCAACTTCAATCAAGTCAAAACTAATCTCATCAGATTGAAATTTCATTTAGATTAAATAAAAGTTGATTGAATTCATTTCAATATGTCAAATTTTCATTTTACTTAAAATGACAGTGATTACTTTTTCATTGATTTTCATAAAATTGCTTGGATGAAATTTAATTTCAGACCAAATTTATTGGATTCATCATGTTAAACTGCGATCGTGTCCGTCTGCATGCCCGAGTTAATGACCAAATTTTCCGCCTTTGATAAAATATTTAAATGTTTTTGATAACCAAAATACCAGCCTTTGATGGGAATTAACAACAGCGTATCAAACAATACCACTACTGCTACATATTCCAATGTGCCAACTTCACTCAATGTGGCTTAAATTATGAAACTAAAATTGCCGACAGATTTCTGAGAGTTTGACCCAGAAGGCCAGGTGCGTTATTCCCCTAATACCATAATTTTAAGTGAAAACATGGAAAAGTTAACAACATTTCGCCCCTTGACCTTTTGAGGGCAACCGTTGTCATGGAAACCATTAGATACCCATGATGGTGACCTGCAGTTTCCAATTGGTGCTTTGTTCCCAGTAAGTAATGGACTGTCCCTACTTGGCTATCAATGTCCTGGTTTGGACATACCAGAATTATTCTATCAAAAAAACTGCATCCTGTTGTGGAAATCTTTACGTTGGCATCTAGAAACATTCTTGCGTGATCTGGAGCAAATTTAGAGAAAAATTTAGCTTCATAATTTAATTCCATATGAGTGGTTTCTTTTAGTTTTTTTAAGTAGTCTTTTCCAATGGAAACTGTAAAAATAGTAAAATGAAAACAAACTCCATTGTAAGACATTTTTTGGACTCTATTTCTTGCAATAATGGGCCATATTTTGAAAACTTATTTATTGATATGCAAAAATTTATATATTTATACATCTGAAAGCATAGCCCCAAAGAGAAAGAAATTTCAAACCTCTGTAGTTTTATGAGAAGTCCTCTGTAGTTGTTTATTTTAATGATTTGAGAATAACTTCTAAAATTATTTTATGTTTATTTTTTGGTGATTTTTCTGCTATTTCATCATATGTGTATGGTTTTAAAAACAATCTATAAAACACAGTTAAAGTTTCTTTAAAGCATAATGCAAGTGGGGTAGATGCATTGACTATACTGCCCAGCAGAGCAAGTAGGAATTTCGAGTGTGTGATGTTTGGGTGCTTAAAATCTTGAATGTCAAGCATAGCAAGGGGAAAATTTCACTGAGGTGATTAAAAATGTTGATTTTCAGGTAATTATTTTATCACCTGGTGGTTTAAAATTGGCGGTCTGGGGGTCAGAAGTAATCACTCCTATCACAGATCATCACTGATACAGATCCCAGGGAGTGAATTTCATGCAGGTCAAGGTAATAGGGGTCAGCTGTGTCACCCTTTTTAAAGAACCGTCACTGATACAGATCCCAGGGAGTGAATTTCATGCAGGTCAAGGTAATAGGGGTCAGCTGTGTCACCCTTTTTAAAGAATCATCACTGATACATATCCCAGGGAGTGAATTTCATGCAGGTCAAGGTAATAGGGGTCAGTTGTGTCACCCTTTTTAAAGAATCATCACTGATACAGATCCCATGAAGTGAATTTCATGCAGGTCAAGGTAATAGGGGTCAGATAACGTTGTGTCACCCTTTTTAAAGAAACATCATTGTTACAGCTCCCAGATAGTTTATCACTCTTACTGGTCATCACTCCTGTAACAGAATCATCACTTATACAGATCCCAGGGAGTGAGGCTCAGGGGTCAGACTGTGTCACTCGTGTAAATAGAACTATCACTTACACATGTCCCACAGAGTGTTGGGGTACATCAGTAAATGATTAGGTAGTATTGAAAAAGTGACAGTAAAAGTTTTACACTATCTTGGGGGATATAGCATTGGAAATCTCTAAGTATGGTCTGGGGGAGGGCTTACATAATCCTTGGGGGGAGTGGGAGGGGATTAAGTAATAACAAGGGCCATATGCACCCTTGTAACAGTGTATGGTTAAAGCTACATAGACAGATACTTGTTACTGGTATGTTATAACAAATCTCAAGGCCTGCTTTGCTCTAATTACACTTACTAGGCTATAATTAGAGTAACACACTGGTGTACAGGGTTGTCAAATCTACCAAATATTAGTAGTACACTGCTATCACAAGTCAACCAAATGTTCCATGATATTCCAATACACCCCCCATGTACAGACCAAGTCTGGTGGAAATGTCCTCACTCTATAAAGTTGTAAGCAAGCAAACAGACGATTCTAAACTCCAATAACATCATAAACTGTATATAGCCGATTCTTAACCATAATTATTGGAGCCAGTGGTTTGGAAGCAATAAGTTGGGATGAGAATCTTTGTAATGGGCCTGGCATTCCTTAGGAGCTACAGCTGACACTGGACTTTGAAGCGTATTCTATTCGGTGCCTAATTAGCATTAATTCTAGAGTTTGGCTCTTGTTAATCTTGTAATTTCCGACGTAATTTGATACAATGATGTAATCAGTAGAAAACAGAGCTTTATCATTGCATTTCCCAGTGACAAGTCAAGTGTAGCTTTATCAAATCAAATTAAGAAAAAATAAAATCAAACTGAATGGAACTTGGGGTAAACAAACAGCAAGCATGTGCTTTGTTATATATATGTATATACCATGATAAACGTTTCCACTTCTATCGCCATGGTAACCATTATGTATCGGTGGAATGTCAGTCTAATGATTATGAAGAGACAAACATTTTCAGCCCCTGACATGCTAGCTAGGACACCTACTCAAATTAGATAAGTACTAATTATGATATCATACACTGTCACAGCCAACCTCCAGCTAATATTGGTGGGAGCCCCCTTAATACCAAACATTGAAAAATTGCTTTGAAATCTCCTC